CCCCCAATCTTTCTCTCATCTGGTGTGGGTAGTTGTTATAGCCTTATCTATGATCTTGAAACTACCTACTTAAATATTCTTGCGAACCTAGAGAATTTGAGGACTGTGTTGTGGTTTTGAAGTTTGTGCTTGCAATTACAATCAAATAAAATTTTGCAGCATATTCTTTTCATCTGATATTTTTGGTGTATCTCTTTTCCCTGCAGATATTTGCAGCAGAATGCAGCCAAAGCAGAGTGATTTAGTGTTCTCTCTTGTTTATTTTTGGACAATTTTCGCTTGTCATTTCTGAGTGCTTTCATCAATTGTTGCAGGAAAAAAATTGCCCTTGATAATCCAAGAGCTGAACTTGCAGTCTATTTCCAAGTAAATCTTAGTACTATCAGTACTGGGACTTTTGGGATTCATTATCATGTCTATAGGAACTTCCACAATAATACAGCATATGTTTAATGCACGACATGTTATTAAACTTGCAGTCTGAATGGCTGTTGTTTTTCATGTAAAGATAAATCTGAACGAAAACACTGTTCAAAATCTGGAAAATACTCCAGCATAAGTATACTGGAACTCCAACATAAGTATACTGGAACTCCAACATAAGTATACTGGAGTTCCAACATAATATACTGGAGTTCCAGTATAATATATCGGTCCCTGTTGCAGCAAAATAGTAGCTATTTTTCAATGACTTTGCAAATGCTGACTATTTTTGAATGACCAGTCCGAAAACTTGCTAGCCCATGCTATTTTTATCTCGAGTAATGATGAAAATTGCATGGGCTATTTAGTTTTCGGATCGGTATTGAAAAATACCCAGCATTTGCAAAATCATTAAAAAGTAGCCATTATTTTATGCGGAGATAAAATTTGGACAAAAATATCCTAGTTGAAACACGGAAAATTCTAGCATAATATGTTGGATTATAGAGCTCCCGCATAAAAACTCTTTAATTTGATTCCCCTCCTGCATTCTAATTTCAGTGTTCTATTTTCACTACGACAAGAAATCACAAGAAATTTGATTTGAAAAATAATACTCAAAATTTCGAGCTAGCTAACAACCTCTATTGATTAGAGTTTAAGCTCGTCCGAATACTATTTTCTCCTTTTCTGCTTTTGTTGCATTAGGATTGGTATTTGTTTTTCTTGAAGTTCACAAGTGATTTCAAGAAATATAATTTTTGTTGGTAAACATTTGTTCATCGAGTTATGAAATATTTATAGAGATAATTTAATTATCCTAATTTAAAGAAGTACAGTGACATGTACATGAATTAAATAAAATATAGAATTAACCCAAATAGTCGCTCACCCAACCGTTTAAATTAAAAATAGTAGGTAGAGGTATAATATATGCATAATTAATATATTATATATGTATAGTTATGTATAATCAATATATAAACTATATATATGGCTAGAAAAATTAAGTAATTAATATGGCCGGCTATTTGTGTAAAGATCCCAATAATATATCAATCTGATTAATGATTTGAATTATAAAATAAAATAAGTTACTTTTGTTATACAAAGTAAATCATATATATATATATATATACCTTAGAGGAAGTCTGTAAAAATTATCCCTTATGTTTATAAAGAAATATATTAATTAAATAAAAAGAAAAAAGTATACTATAACAACGACCTACATATATATAACCTGTATATGTAGGTCAAAACCATAAATAAAGCTTTTGCCCTTTTCCCTTTAGAATCCTTGTATGTGTATTACATCCTCGACCCTCGTTCCTTCTTCCCTCTTCGTTGTATAAGCTATGGCGAACTGGGCAGAACTGCCCCACGAACTCCTTGTTCTCATTGCAAAGCGCGTTAAAGTGATAGAAGATTTCATTGCTTTTGGTGCTGTTTGTACGTCGTGGCGAACTGCTGCTACAAAGGAAAACTTTGATGTGTTTTCGCCTCAAGTTCCGTTGCTAATGTTGGCTGATGATAAAGACGATGATTATCGAGAATTTTACTCTCTTTCTAAGGGGAAAGTCTCACGTATATTATATCTCCCAGAAGCTAGAGGGCGAGAGTGTTTTCCATCAGAGGGATGGTTGTTCACTATGTCATATTACGGAGAGTTTAACTTATTGCATCCTTTTTCCCGTACACAAATTCAACTTCCTTCACCAAAAGCGTTATTGGCTTTACAGGGTTTTGATGAAATACCAAAAGGAGAAATCTATCACATGATCGACAAAGCTGTCTTATCTGCTAATCCTTCTCTTACATCAGATTATGTATTAGTGATTTCCTATTATACAGATGTTAATCATTTGGCTTTTTGGCGACCTGGAGATCTTAGCTGGACCAAATTTGAAATTGAATATAGAGTTGGTGGAGTCTTCAATATGATTTACTATAAGGGTCAATTTATTTTTGTAACTTACGCTGGAGAAGTTTGTGTTTTTTATGTTCCAGGGCCTAGTATTTCTCAACCAATTGTAGAATCACGCTTATTTTGGCTTGACGATAATCTGAATCTGTTTCGCCAAAAAAAGCATTCAATCAACTTCTACCTAGTTGAGGTAGATGATAAACTTTTACTTGTTATCCTCGACGAGAACGAAATGAGCCTCCGAGAGAGGAAGGAGATGGTCCAAAGACATTTAAATTTGAAGTATATGAACTAGATGTTGGGAATAAACCCCGTAAAAATAGTATTCACGGTATTAGTGATAAACGCAGAACACTAAGTTATGGTTAAATAAGCAAGAATAGAAATGCAGCAATAATGACACCAAGATTTTACGTGGAAACCCTTCTGAATAAGGGAAAAAACCACGGCCAAGAAGAGCAACTGATATCACTATAGCGAGGAATTTTACACTGTGTAGTAACGAGTAAAAAATACTCCTAAGACCACTACACCCTCAAAAGAAATAAACACTCTTTTGCTTTTTCCACCTCACTACAATATCTCTCACACTCTATTTTTCTTCACAAACTATTTTCTTATAGTTTATGGAATACCTTGCTCTCTCTTTTGTGTCTTTGTTGGTGTGCGGAAATGAGAGTTAAAGCTCTCCTTTTATAGCCAAAACCTCACTCTCTAAAGCCTACAATATTT